ACCACTGTCAGAAGGCAACAAAATTTCTTTTTTTTTTCAAAATCAGGCGAAAATTAATGCGCGCGCTGATGTCATCCATAACAATTACTTGCTGTGGCCTTACGTTCGCACACCAGATTGACCTCTGATGCGTTCAGTGTTCGCTGTTGTGAAAATCTCAGTGTTAAGACTTGCTTTGTATTTGTCTTGATTTAATACGCATTTAGTAAAATTTAGTAAAGTACAATGTATGGTAGATAGTAATAAGATTACTAGTTGGTATCAGTCTATCAAGATTCTACATATGGTGAGTTCAACGGGACTCATGTTTGACAAAATGTTGACTAAAACTAACTAAGAGCTAGTACATCTCTACAAGTATGTTCTAAGCCACGCTATACTATATTCCTAAAGAGTACGATGTTGTACATAGAGTGATAAAGAACACTTAGGTCCTTGGTACTTCAGGGAATGGGTATGGTTCACTCGAGTTAGATTTGTAAGTTATGGGCACAAGCTGGAGGTGGTCCCTTCAGCCCCTTGCAGCTAGCGAGAGATTGTGTAACTAGAGTTCCACGATCTCATACCTTCGCCAAATGATGTTAGCTTTTATGAATAAGAAATTATATACAATGTATTAATCCCCCTGATTATGCAAATAGGATCCGTAATTGCATGATTATATCTGTTGGTCATATTCTCCACCAACAGACAGTCTTATCTTAAAGAATGCCATTATAGCATTTCCTCATATATTATGCAAATGAGGTCCTTATTTGAATAAGTTATTTTAAATTATGTTCACCTTCACTTAACTTCAAACACCCCAAGTGTAAAATTCCAGGCAGTTACCACTATGCAATTATAACATTTTCTCATTAATTATGCAAATTAAGTCTTCATTTGCATAATCGATATCTGCCTGTGTTTCTCTCGTTCTTAATAACATATGTCACAAGCTTGAACTTCCTATCATGGAATGCAGGTGATTAATAGAATTTCCTCATTAAGTATGCAAATTACATCCATATTTGCATAATTGCAATATCATTACATACCAAAAATCATGATGATCCATCAATCGGTTCTTGAGTTATCCTCCTTTAAACATTTGTCTTTTAAACCCCCTGCAGTTCTAGAGCAAGCAACTAGGGGGTTCAAATTCATGTCACTTCATCCCCAGCACAAGAGCTACTTGCCATCCAAATTTCGTTACCCTAGCATGTCTGGATCATGAGATATCAAAACCGGAAGTTCTGCTGCAGTACCATGACAAGCCACCAGGTGGCCCAAAATCTTATTATTTCGAGCTCTCATCAAGACCTACCCACCCACGAAATATCAAGATAATCCATCTAAGCTTTCTCGAGTTATGCTGTTGACAGACACACAGACACACAGACACACACACGGCCAGGAAAACATAACTTTTGTCAATTCTTGGCGAAGGTAATAAAGCTATTCATACTGCAGCCCACTGACTTTGCCACAGTGTTTGGCACCCAGGTCTTTGTGACTTCTTTGTCGATATCGACGATTGTAACGCAAGACCGAAGCCAGACAAAGACAGTCTGACGTGCGACGCCGGTAGCCTCTACCAGGCTTCGGGAGGCGGCCTTGGAAAGAGTAGAAATCGGCCAAATAGAGAGATAACATGCCAACGGAGTTTGTCGCTGCTGGGAGAGGACATTCTGCCTCACCGGGCACGTCATAGCCTATTACATAAGGCGGTTTTAAGTCCGGTCCCTCATTGCTAGTTTTATGTTTAGTAGATGCCATACTTGGTACCCTGTACAACACTGAAGTTACCTTATTCGATTTCAATTCTACGTTGCACCTCATGCTTTTCCTAATAAAGAGATAAATATGACTAAAAAGAGCTTCCAAAACGCACAATGGAAATGTTTTTATAAAAACTGAAATTGTGTCACTGTGTGTAAACTTTGACAGGAACAGGTAGACTGAATGTCGTTACAATGTGGACATTTTTTTTTACACATGACTGCTAAAATAATCAACCTCAACAATACATTGGTTATACCTGTACACCCCTCCCATCACTTTTGGTACGGCCTTCGGCAGTGTCACACGCCCTTCCTTTGTTGTTCCGCGGGTCAGAGGGTGAATGTCTTTTGTGTTTATTTTTCACACGCTATTTACAGATTAGTGATAACCTTTTATGAGTCATCATGTCGTTTCAACTTGGTGCGTGCACCAGTCTGTTATTGACCTTTGACCCTGTGTATGTGACTAGCATGCCAAATTTCAGCTCAAGAACACCGTATATTACTATATACGGAAGCTACGTGTAAGCCGGCTACCGAAAAGGTAGCAGCTGACTGCATAATTGTGCGTCCTACGGAACATCTTACATTGATTGCGGAGTTTAGAAGAATTCAATGTTGGCACGTGCCATAGTTGTGGTACTATCGGTGCCGTACTATCAGTGCAGACTTTAGCCTCGGTCACAACCCGCCGCACATGCATGCTGTCTACGTGCAAAAACGTGGGCAAACGTAGGGCATCCGTGCATGGTAAGTATTGCCTCCGTAAGGAATCCTACGGATTTGGGAGCACGCAGACACGCCGTAGAACTTTCAGTGCATGTAAAACTTTTTTTTCTACGTGCGGTCTGCGGATTCACCACCCGTGCGTGCGAGTACGGGCGACGCGCGTGCCCCGTACGCACCGTACGTAAGACGCACGTGTGAGTACGGCCTCCGTACGGTAAAGTTGCAATCGCACATAGATCGTACGCACGTACAACTCACCACTTGCACAACGTACGATGCACGCAACCGCTCACGGCCAGACGTGGCGTGCAGACCACACTCTTACACCTTGCGCAACCGTGCGAGTAACGTGCGTCGACGCCACTCCTTCCCCACGTTTTTCAGAAAAAACGTAGCAGACGTAGCCTTCCAAAAGACGTATGGACAAAAAGCACGTACGGCGGGTTGTTACCGAGGCTTAAGATTACTCTCGTTTTCGAGCCTACGACGAAAAGGAAAAAATGCCATTCTATATCTATCCAGGTTCCGGTAGGCTTGGATGCCAGACTGTTCTCAGGGCCAGTACACAGGCCAATTCAAGTTAGACTCCCGAGAAACTAAAGCCTCGGTCACAACTCGCCGTGCGTGCTTTTTGTCCGTACGTTTTTGTCGTGGCTACGTCTGCTACGTTTTTTCTGCAAACGTAGGGTGGCCGGCCGAGGGAGTACGTCACTCGCACGGTTGCGCAAGGTGTACGTACGTGGTCTGCACGACACGCCTGGCCGTCAGCGGTTGCGTGCATCGTACGTTGCGCAAGTGGTAAGTGAGTTGTACGTGCTTACAACGCACGATCTCTGTGCGATTGCTACGTTGCCGCGTACAGGCCGTACCTACACGTGCGGCGTACGCACGGTTTCCTTACTCACTCGCACGTTGTAAGTGCGTGCACCTCCTGTTAACTTCATCATCACTAGCCGCCCTGGTGTCTTCCGCGGCCCGTTTCTTTGGGTCTTGTCTGGTAGTCTTCTTCTGAGCCTTCCTGGGCATCTTGGAGACGAGTTGGCAGTCGCCGTCAAGTCGTCTTTATATACTGTAGAAATCAGGTGCGTTGCACGTGCGTTACACGTGCGGAGCACCTGGTATGGTGCACGTGTGTTCTGCGTGGTCATTGAGCAGGTCAACTGGGAAGTGAGGAGTAAGCACGGATGACGCAAGCACCGTGCGTGGCACGCACATGCTTCGTGCGCTGTCCGTACAGCAATTGCACGTGAGAATAGTGAACTTAGACTCACGGAGTCCGTACGTTGCACGCTCATAGGCTGTACGGGGCACGCGCGTCGCACGTACTCGCACGCACGGGTGGTAAATCCGCAGACCGCACGTAGAAAAAGTATTACATGCACTTAAAGTTCTACGGCGTGTCTGCGTGCTCCCAAATCCGTAGGATTCCGTACGGAGGTGGTACTCACCACGCACGGATGCCGTGCGATTGCCCACGTTTTTGCACGTAGACAGCACGCAGAAGCACGTACGGCGAGTTGTGACCGTCGCTTAACTGGGGTGGGCTGTGGTTAAATTTTGTTGGGGATACGTTGGTCCAGGAGCCGGGGACCTAGACAGTATACTGGCAGCAGTCTGGTAACCAGGCTAGATCCCGGTTTGTTCCCGGCCACCCAAGAAATGTTGGGACCTCCCAGAATCGTGTGCTGAGACGGAAGAGACCGATGAACGCCGGGTTCCATACTAAGCTCCCTCAGAGGCTCATGCCAGAAAAGCGTAGATGATAAAACTAATTTTATCCATCCGAGTGTACAAAGTATACTGCCTTAGTCTCTAATAAGTCATTGTTGTTTGATCACAGATTTGAATTTCAATCATGTCATCATGCAATAGAAATAGGAATTTGAACACAGTGCATTGTCCCGGAAGCCACGGAAACTTTTTTCTAGTGAAATGAGTGCAATCATCAGTGCACTGCAATGTACATTTTCATTTGTCAATCTTTATCATCTACATGTACATGAAAATGTAAGTAAGTTTTCGGCCTGTCTGTGTGCCTGTCTGTGTGTGTGTCTGTGTGTCTGCCTGTCTGTCTGTGTGGACTTTGGGCATACATGCGTGTCAACAAAATCCCAGAGATGTGAGACATGCCTGTGGACATTCCATTCCTGTGGTTAACATTCTTGTACAATTCCTAGAATTCTTGTAAACTGCACACAATTAATCAATCACTCTTTATTCAAACAACTAGCAGACGAGAGTCTGAGTTGAGTTGTTTTTACTGTTCATAAAATTATACATAATCTACACGATATATATATAATAACACAAACTCGCTAGAGAGCTATAATAACACAAACTCGCTAGAGAGCTATAATGCCGCTTTACACAACAAGTAAAGGTACCTTTAGGCTCTTCCCTGAGACGTCACCAAAAACAGAGGCATAGAAAAAATCCGTCCGTGCCAGGAGGTTAAAACGTGTCCGCATAGTCACGTACATTATTGTATGCTTTCCTGTCCCGCCTCTACAGTACGCTGCTTCCTGAACAGACTCCAAGCTGGCTGACTATGACGATGGGACGGTAAAGAGATCGGCTGTGAACCTTCTGCATCATGGCAGACCGTAAGTTACATCTTTTTGTTTAAAGTATATTTTGTATCTGTAGAAAAATAAAGCATTAAAGACTACAGATTTTTTCAGAAAATGTTTTCAAACACACATGGACACACGCACACAAGCAGGCATGCACAAGCGCGCGCGCGCACACACACACAAACATATGGAACCAAACAACCAACTAACCAACAAAACAACCACCCTCTCACCTCACACGCACATACATGCACACACACACACATACACACACTCACACACACACACACGCACGAACGAACGAACACACACACACACACACACACACACACACACACACACACACGACCCCTACATAGGTCGATAAAGTCCATCGTATTGTATACGTATGTAGTGGTTTCACACAAAACTCGCTAAGCACACATTTTATCTGATGATACACTAATTTTTCCTCTCTACAGGACACAAATTTGGCCAGTCGACCCCGCCGCTGGTCGAATATCTGCAGGATATTCTCAACAGGTATCCAGACGGGGGACAGATTCTGAAGGTGAGCAAAAATGCAATGATCTTACATTACATTGAGTCAGACATTTGGCCAAGAAATCATTGACTTCGTGTATATGGTTTGAATATATATTGGGTTGTGATTTTGTGAAACAATGAACAAAACACCTCATCTCGATTCTATGCCTAAATATGACATATCCAATCAATTTTTTTAAATTAAAAGTTGGTCTAATCGTTTTGCGTTTTGTGAAATACAAATGTAATATAAAATTTTTCACCCAGTTGTAATTAATCTGGAGATTACTTGGATGTTGTTGCCGTGTAATATAACTGTTGTCTCTCCAAAAGTCAATGTGAAGTTACCAATACACTTGCTTTTTGGGATTCGGAAAAATAGTACCTCCAGAACTACAGCGATAGCTTTCGCCGAGTTCCCCTTTAATAATAAATTATTATAGATATTAATAATGGTCAATTTTCAAATCATTTATTCTTGTTCACTAAATAATTTGATTTTAGATATAAATCCAATGTAACGTAGTAAATTTAAGTGGTCTTTTGGTGGGAAAAAATGTAAGTGTATACTACATATCATGAAACTTATTTATACATGTTGCATGTTTTGAGTTAAAACTTTTGTTCCAACACAAGAGAATTGTTCTCCCCTAAAGCTTTCGGCCAGTAACTATAGTCTTCCTCAGTAGAATTACCTAGTGAGACCTGTCATGTGGCTTTTCTCAAGAGTGACGTCACACTGGGTCAAAGGTTCTGGTAAACGATGTCTGCCTCCGTCGCGGTTGAGTAACGGGTGATGGGCCCTGATGCCTCTTTCATCCCTCTCGCATCGTTTACCAGATATATGATGTATGTAAGCGTATAATCATGTATATTTGTTTTCGTGGTCCTTTCCAGGAGGTCATAGTAAATAGATAAAGTATACATGATATATGATCACGAAACAAGTTCCTTCCTATCTACCAGGAGTTGATACAGAACGCCGAGGATGCCGAAGCCAGCGAGGTGCGGTTTCTGTACGACAGGACCCAGTACGGCACCCGGACACTCCACTCTCCCAAACTGGAGCCGTACCAGGGCCCGGCCTTGTGCGCCTACAACGACGCCTGCTTCACCGAGCAGGACTGGAACAACATCCAGAATACAGCCAGGAGCGTGAAGAAGGGCGACCCCATGAAGATAGGACGATTTGGGCTGGGATTCAACTCTGTGTACCATCTCACAGGTAAGAACTAATTTGATGGCCCTATCAGTAGTTCTAAGGGATAGGGGTTGGGACTTGCGCTCGTTGAATTTTATTTACTAAACCCCAATTACTAGTAGATTGTTTCGATTTTGTATATTTGTTTATTTATCCATATAATCAGTATATCTCTGTTTAATCATTTTGTGTAGATGGCGCCGTTAGTATAAGTTCCATGGAACTTAACTTGAGTTCGACGCCATCTTGTATGTTTTTTTTCTTTAATGTTTTTGCTGTTTTGATAAAAAAGAATGATGGCCCTTTTGCTCAATGTTAAATTGTTGGACAAGAATACGCGCACAGAATACAGAATACCGGAATGTAGTTCCATCCATGCTTTTCTGAGACCAAAGGATGCCAATAATGAATTTCTCGAGAGCAAATCACGTTGTTAAGGCCTTGTCATACATTCAGAACTTTCCCCCCGGACACCAGCCGACCAAGGTTGGCTGAAATTCAGGAACAGTCTGACCAGATGTAGACCACGCCTACCTTTCTATACGAACGAATCGAATTCGAGATGATATATAAGTCAAATTTGACCCCCGACTACTCTCACCCACTCTTTGACCCCGATCTACTCCCAACCATCAGCCAACCACCAGTCAACCATGGCCGAACATGCCGTCCAAAAAAGAAATTCAATGTTCTAAACATTTTGAAACATTCGGCAGGTGAACAGTAGCCGACCTGGCTGAAACTACCTCAACCGAGTTCAAAACCGCTTACAAAATCTCGTTAGGAGTGATTTGTTCTGACATAGGCGTAATGATGCAAGCCTGGTGTTATTTTACCGCTATTTCCATGGTATAAAAATGCTCCACGGTGCCCCCACTTCTAACATTCTCCGCAAGGACACGTCTTGCCACTTCCATTGAAGCAAATCACCCTTTCTTCCTCCATTCACCACCTCTTATGAAGAAGTTCCACGCTGAAAGCTTCTTTCCTAGAACATCACTATGAAACTAGAGTTCCCCGATCTCATACCTTCGCCAAATGATGTTAATCTTTATGACTGACAAATTATAGATTAGATTATTCCCCCTGATTTAAGAAATAGGAACCTAATTTTCATGAATTATATCATTTTATAATAATCTCAACCAAAAAACAGTCTTATATTAACAAACAATGCATTCTAGCATTTCCTAATAAATTATGCAAATGAGGTCCTGATTTGAATAAATCATGTTTAATGATGTTCACCTCAATTTAACTTTCAAATACAAGTATGAAATTCCAGGCAGTTATCATAACATAATTATAAAATTTTCTCATTAATTATGCAAATTAAGTCATTATTAACATAATCAATATCTTCCTGTGTTTCTCTTGTTGTCAATTACCAATGTCACAAGCTTTCATTGTCCCATTATTGAATGCAGCTGATTTATAGAATTTCTCCATAAATTATGCAAATTACATCAATATTTGCATAATTGTCACATGATTATATTAAGCATCACGTAAGCTACCTACATACCAAAAATCACGACGATCCGTCAACCGGTTCTTGAGTTATCCCCTTTTGAATATTTTCAAGAATTTATCCCTGCAGTTCCAGAGCAAGCCGCTAGGGGGCCTAAACTCACGTCACTTCTTCCCCAGCACAAGAGCTACCTACCATCTAAATTTCATCACCATAGCATGTCTAGATCATGAGAAATCAAAACCGGAAGTTCAGCTGCAGTACCATAACAAGCCGCTAGGGGGTCCAAAATCTAATCATTTTGAGGTCTCATCAAGACCTACCCACCTACCAAGTATCAAGACAATCCATCATGGCCTTCTTAAGTTATCGTGTTGACAGACAGACACACACACACATACACGAACGCCCCTGAAAACATAACCTTCTTGGCGAAGGTAATAAGCTACCAAGGGATTGTTTCCCATATTGGTATATCCTTAACCTTTTCAAGTCTAAGGTCAACAAACATTTGTTCTCACTGGCTGTACACTAACCAAAAGTATTTGAGTAGCTCTCATGGGCCTTGTTTTGTGGTGAATCATGAAGTAAATAAAAGCAAAACACAAACCGACCTAGCTGAGCTTGTTCGCGACGTAGGCGGAATGACCTCTGACCCCCTGCTCACCACCAAACAAAACAACATATAGAATCACTTGTAGGTCTCTACCCAGCATCAAAGAAAAATGCAAAGGCCAATTTTTAACGAAAGAAAAAGAAAGAAAACACTCCACCTGCAAAATGGCAGCAATTAGCAAGATATACCAAGAATGCGTGTTTACAGTTGGTTAATTGGATGCTCTCACCGATGGTTACACAGAATGGGCCTGCGCCAAGTAGTGACATTTGCCCTTCGTAAATGTGTGACAGGGGCTTAAGGAAAAGATGGCGGGCAGAAGCACTGCACATTGATTCTGATTCCAACTTTTTTGTAGGAAAGGTGTGAGAAATTTAGACAAAATGTTGACAGTAGAGACTGAACGGAACATCTCTCAGTGTCAGCATACGCATGTCTGCGTATCCTGATTGCGAATGAGTTTAGAAGATACTGACAATTCTTTCACACGCAGCCGTACACAAAATATACAGGTCATATGCATCTCAATCGTTTTGTGCAAGTTTTATGTACGCAGGCATAGTACCTATATACAGCGTAGGTTTGGGCAAGCGCGCTGTTTACCCGGTCATCGTGCCCGCATCGGTGGAGCGCGGTGCGAGTACGCGGTTAATACGGCGGGGACACGCGGTTTATATGCAGCAATACGCTTATCTCCTATGGCCACCCGGCGCAGAGCTATGCATGTCTGTTTCTGTAGAGCCGGTATGACCGCCTTTCGGCGTAACACACCAGCTTCGGAGGCACACGGCCTGGCGGCAGCTGGCTACATTACACCGATCGACTTGTTACGCCTAACCTTTTAACTCTAGACGTTGTTTAAAGCTATCTAGTGACAATGCCCCTAATGTACTTGGTGACAGCGAGTTCCACTCTGCGATAGTTCTAGGAAAGAATGAATTCTTGAACGCCTCAATCCTTGGTTGATAACTCTGGTACTTGAAGGCATGGCTATTTCTTGTTCTCTTCTGGGCTGGTATTAGGGACGTCCAATTATATAGTGTAGTTGCAGGGCAAATACTACTCATGCTGAACGGACTCATAGCAAATGACAACGCACTGCCAAGCAAGGGGCAGGACTTTTGCATGGAAATGTATGTGATTTGCATTTTAAAAAAAAGCATATAACGTTATAGAATAGATAATGCTACATGTAAACATCACGTTTCCATGATCAATGAGAAAAATCCACTCCAAACTTTTAACGGCACTAAATAGTTATGAGGTATGTAGAGTTATGTAGATATGAGGTACCGAATTCCTGTTTGTAAATTGTGACAAGCTCACATTGAGATGGCGACCTGGACGAACATGCAGGGTACACCCGAAATGATGTACAAATGTATACACAAGAAAAAAGTGTTGCGCACCTCACACGCATTTAATAGTCAAAGTAATAGAAAAATTTAAGAGTTACGACTGAGTATTACAGGAATGTCCACACGCAAGTCATACGCAGTGATGACACGCAGAAATGTGACATGGCCATAGATTGGTAGTTTTCTGGCAAACGAAACCTGAACCTTTTATGGCAATGCCCGAATTTCTAAGACGTCGTGCTGCATCTCGTTTCTAGATCTCCCGATGATCCTGAGCGGACATCACGTCGCCATCCTTGATCCACACGAGGACATCTTCCGCATAGACGGCGTTCGGCAAAGCGGCTGTATCTGGCACCTACAGAAAGATGCTGAGGAGATCCAGAGCCTACAAGACCAGTTCTCTCCTCTCAAAAACCTCTTTGAGGGTGCCGAAGATCCCTTCAAGACCGGATTCTTCAACGGGACGATCTTCCGATTTCCCTTGAGACAGATGCCGTCAAGACTGTCCAAGACTGTCTATGACTATCAGAAAATCGTGGACTTGTTTGACTCCTTCAAGTCAGATGGCGACATTGTCCTGCTGTTCCTGCATCACGTACGGTCTATCAAACTGATGACCAGAGAAGAGTCAGGCCACATCGTCACAGACTATCGCGTTTCCATGAACAGCCAGTCTCAACAAGAAAGGGAACCACGTTTCACTGCTGACGTGAAAGAAGCTCTTGAGGCACCGATAGACGACCGGGAGACAGTCGTCAGCACCTGCCAGTTCTCAATGGCGGTAGATGGTCTGCCTACCCGAAACTGGCTCGTCACAACCTACGTGAAGGGACGGGGGATCTCAGAAGAGGCAAAGCAGCTGTCTAAAGAGCTCAGCTTGCTCCCGTGGGTAGGAGTGGGGATGCCGCTGTCCGGGGAGGGGAAGGTTGACGGACGGACGTTCTGCTGCCTGCCGCTGCCTGCAGGACACGAGTCCACCGGCCTGCCTGTCCACGTGCACGGCTTCTTCGGCGTCAGCGATAACAGGAGGAGTCTGAAGTGGACAGGGACGGACCAGAAGAGCGACTCTGCAGCAAGGTAGGATTTCTCGTTATTACCTCCTTGAAAATTTGGTATTGTTACTCCTAGTGACAAGGCACTCACTCACTCATAAGGCACATGTGCATTTCGTTAGTCTCCGTAACGTAGAAAATGAGTATTTTAAGACACCTTTGCAACTTGCAGTTTTGCAAGAAACGAGAGGAAATGAGTGAGCAAGTGACCGCCGCTGAATGATCATCCGGGGAACCTTATATCTTCAGTGGTCTTCGTCTAACACGTCCTTCATATAGTCCCTCTAATTGCTGAACCTTTGTGAATATCTTCCCTGCCCACATCATAACTTACAGATTGTTATATGAGTATTCGTACCGTATTTGTAACAACTGAGCCTTTCCTTTCTCCTGTTCAGGTGGAACGAGATTCTCGTACGGGAGATCCTACCCTCTGCCTACGCCCGCCTCATCACCGACGCCACGCAGTACTGTAAGAAAGACGCCCTCTACGCAGCGCTTCCAGACAAGCAACACACTGCTCAGCACTGGGATAAAGCTCTCAACCCGTTCTTCAAAGACGTTCTCACTCAGAAGGTTGTGTGGACACCAGCAAATGGTGAGAAGTGGATCACCCCGAGAGATGCAGTCTTCAACAGGACGTCTGTTCCAACTGCAGTTCTGGAGTACCTGGTCGGTGCGGGACTAGACGTGGTGACGCTGCCAAAACACGTCATGCAGGCAATCGACGACACTTTCTCCCGCTCCGGTCTCAACACAGTCACCCCAGAGCTGCTGAGGACAACCATGAAGAGAACGGGCGTGCCAAACGGCTCCAGAAAGCACAAACTGACCTGGCTACAGTACGCCCTGGACGACAAGAAGTATGACGCAATGGAAGGGATCGAACTCCTTCCATTGGCCGACAAGACTTTCACAACGTTCTCAAAATACGACAAAACGATCTTCGTCGAATCTGAACAGCATCCCAGAACCCTTCTTCCGGGTCTCGAGGGGCGTTTCCTGGACACGGACATCAACAAACCTACTCTACACCATCTGCAGATGGCTGCGACAAAGGCAGAAGAAAAAGGTACGTGCTGAAAGGCTCTTAGAATATACTTAAGATTGCAGCTGTATGCCTACATTCCATTGCAAAGATTTCAATCATTTATGCGATTGGCTTCTAGTGAACAACATTAGCCAGATAAGACAAAGATACAGCCAATGTGAGTTATTGTTACCTTCTCATTACTCTCAATCTGTGTGTATATGAGCTCCTATTGTTATCCCTCCATGCCAAAAGGAGAAAAAGTTCACTTTGAAAATTCTTCTTGCCAGCCCGCTCCGGCCATCCCTGCCTCCGACTACGTCATCTCACCCCGCAGCTTGTTGCCACTCACCTGAGAGACGCACTGCCACCTGATTGGTTGCAGGTAAGTCATGTGACTTGGAGCCCCGCGCGTTCGCAGCAGCCTTCCGTGGAATGGTTAGCCCAGCTGTGGCGCTATCTGCTAGTTTACTTTCCCAAAGATCTAAGCCCCTTCGTCGGCCTTCCTATCCTTCCCGTAATGAACGAGACTCGCCTGGTCCGACTCGAGCAGCCCTCGAAGGTGATCCGTCCCAAATATGGCGAAACGACGATACCTGACGTCATCAAGAAGCTTGTCCGTGACGTGGACGCCACAGTGCTTGAGGACGCGCCATCTTATCTGAACCACCCGAAGCTTGAGGAGTTCATTCACCGCTGTACCCCATCAGGGCTTCTCAAGCTCCTGCTTGTCGTCGGAGCGAACAAAGTGATCCCAAAGGTCGATGCGTTGAATTCCGAAGCTAAAGGCGCGCTACGGACTTTCTTTGCCAAAGGTGAGAACCTTTACGACGAGGAGCGCAGACTGCTGGCCAAACTACCCATTTTTCAAGCTGTTGATGACACAAACTTGAAACCAAGATACCTGGCAGCCTTGGATCCCGGAGGAAGGATGCGACAGATCGCCCCAGACCTGACTACTGACCCCCTACCTGAAAGTTTATCCTTTCCCACAACCCTCATCGTTACTAACGACCTGGAATCACAGACTCTTGTGCGGCTTCTTGGTCTCCAACAACTGAGTACAGCACAGCTTTTGGCGGGAATGATAGAGAAGGTTCGCCGGAGCGACTACACAAGAGAACAGGTGGACTCTCTCATGCTGTGGATTCTCAGGAATCTCCATACCTTACTGTACAAGGATCCGAGCATCATCAGCCGAATCCAAACTTTGGCATTCGTGACGACCAACAACAACACCAAAGTGACCCCCACCGAGCTGTTTAACCCTGAAGATGCGGTCTCTGATGTGTTTCTGGGTGAACCAGTCTTCCCAGGACCACCATACGCGGACAAGATCGTACTGACATCTCTGCTGGAGCTTGGGATGCGGAAGAACCTATCTGCACACGACATTCTACGCAGTGCTAAGAATGTACAGACCTTCTATCGATCTGGAAAGTTGACCCTGTCTGATGCAAAACGAAAGGCCGTTGCAATCATGTCCGTCCTTGCTCACGGAATGCTCATGACTCCCGCTAAAACTGCACTCATGGACGTGAAGTTCTTACCGGTCTGCTCAGAAAGACCCAGGTCCTATCTACCAGGGTTGAAATGGTATCCAGAGACAAACAGCGCCGTATTTGTAAGCCCAAGAGAGGCTCGAGGTTTGGAGTGTGCAGAGTTGGTCGGCGCGACCATGCCTATTGTTGGTGGGAAGATATCTGATGATTTCATCTCGGCTTTTGGATGGAACAAGAACAGATTGCCGATCGAGAAAGTTGCCGAGCAACTCAAAAGGGTATGTACCCATTACACCAGGTCACCACACCTTCCCAAGCACCATGTTGTGCAGATGTTGACCGACATCTATCAGCACATTGACGCCAGGTTGAAAGCAGGAGAGACAGCTGCCCTGTGGTTACTGTCTTCCCCGGGTTTCCCTCCATGGGTCTGGCAGGGCGACAGTCTGGCAGCACCAAACGCAGTGGCGCTGACCTCCCCGTTCAACCTCACCCTTGACCTTGCACCATACAGATTCATCCTGCCAAAGGAGTTCCATGACTTCAAACAGATGTTCAGGAACGCTGGCGTCAAAGGGAGCATTGACCAAACGGACCTGGTGGAAACGTTGCATGAAATTCAATCGGCGCCGAAAATGTCGACAGAACGAGATCTGAAGTTGTCTGTGGACATTATAGCTTGGTTAGTCAGCCACCCAGACATCCTTGAAGAGGTACGAGACGAGATATTGGTTCCCATAGCAACGAAAGACAGCTGTCGTCTGACATTGGCACCTGTGAGCGAGTGCACGTACAATGATGTATCTTGGAGCGATGCACAGGATTTACTAGATGACGAGGATGAAGAATTCAAGCCTCTCCACAAACTGATACCGTTAGACACAGCACAACTGCTCGAGGTGCCATCTCTCAGCCAGAGGGTCGTCAGTGCCGAGGAATTCGGGTTCGACCAGTGTGGGCAGCACGAGAAAGTCACACAGCGTCTCAAGAACATATTGAACGACTACCCCGAGGGAGCTGGGATCTTCAAAGAACTCATTCAAAACGCAGACGACGCCGGAGCAACGGAAGTGAAGTTCCTTGTCGACTGGCGGAAGAACGAAGACTCCAAAGAGGGTCTGATCGACCACGGCATGGAGGTGTGCCACGGACCGGCGCTGTGGGCGTACAACAACGCCACGTTCAGCGAGGAGGACTTCAAGAATATCCAGAACCTAGGAGGGCAAACTAAGCTGGAGGCCCTCGAGAAGGTGGGCAGATTTGGGGTTGGCTTCAATTCTGTGTACCATGTTACAGACGTCCCGAGTTTTGTCAGTGGAAGTCGAGTCCTTTTCTTTGATCCACACGCCACGCACCTCTCAAAACACATCAAAGATAAGTCTAGACCAGGAATCGGACTTGACTTTCAGAAGAACACAAGGCTTGTAAGCAGGTTCAAAGACCAGTTTCAGCCTTTCCAGGATGTCTTTGGTTACAGCACCAGTACCCCCTACAACGGAACGCTGTTCAGGCTCCCGTTAAGAACACCACAGGAAGCTGCCGAAAGTGAGATCAGCGACGTGTCGTACAGCAAACCTGGCAATGCAAACATGGAAAGCCTGATCAGAAGTTTCAAGGAAGGCCTGAAACCTCTCCTACTCTTCACCCAGAATGTCAGACAAGTAACGATGTACACCATGGCAGAGTCCGCAGACCCCTCGAAGATGGTTGAAACTTTCCACGTCTCAAAGTCACCTGTGAAATATTTACGGGAGATGCAGATTCTGTCCCCTTCTCGCAGATTGAGCGACAAATTCCAAATCCAAAGCAACTGTCTGCTGGCGACGTCAGACGTCATGAAACGCCAAGGGACCAACAGAATGAAGGAGTGCCCGGAAACATCCATGGTAGTCAAGGTAACCTGCCGAGAGGGTACGACCAACGCCGTGAGTGAGGAGTGGATCATCTCGTCCTGCATGGGCTCATCGGCATCACTGAAGTTAGCTTTGTCTGACAGAGGAAAGAAGACCGGACTTGTTCCATGCGGCGGTGTGGCAGCGTTGCTGAAGTCAAGTGATGGCAGCCATCCGAACACCTCCTTGGATAATCCCCCAAACGGAGAGGTGTTCTGTTTCCTACCCCTGTCTATCAGAACAGGCCTGCCTGTCCACGTGAACGGCAGTTTCGCCGTGGCATCCAATCGCCGAGGACTGTGGGAAGAGACGAGCACCGACCGGAACGACCTGAAGGTGAAGTGGAACAAGGCTCTTATGGAGGACGCTGTGTGTAAGGCCTACGTCACAATGCTTCTAGACCTCAGTGACATGGCAAAGAAAGGACAGCTAACTCCCTATCAGTACCACAGCTTTTGGCCTAATCCCAATCAAGTGATATGTACCACACACAACAGCGCCCTTGTGGAAGCCTTCTACACGGCTTTGTCATCCTGTAGTGATCCGCCAGCTCTGTTTGAGTCCAGAGGAAAATGGCTGAGTTTTACATCAGCGGTGTTCCTTGACCCTGGAATCACGTTTTCTCTTCCAGAGAAAGTTGCTGCAAAGGTAGTTTTTCAGCGGTGTCTTCCAGGAAACACTCTCATGGAGCTCCCTGTATGGGCAAGGCAAGGATTCGAAGACGCAGATTGTGGCAAACTCCTCTCAGAGCACACGTACACAGAGGAACGATTCTACCGCAAACTGTACTTTCCGCAGATACAAGATCTTTCGGATGAAATCAGGGATCCTTTGGTGCTCCGTATATTAGGTCGGGAAGATGGTGAGTACGATGCACTGATCAAAACGACGGCTTGCATTCCAACCAGCCCAGACGGGAAAACGTTGTCTCGACCCGGAGACCTCATCCACCCCGAGGGGAAGCTCTCCGGGATGTTCCTAACCGAGGATCAGAAGTTTCCACATGGATCCAAAGACACCTATCTGAAACCTTCCCGTCTGCAGGTGTTGACAGAACTGGGCATGTGTAAAGATGACGCGCCGTGGGACGTCGTCATAGAGCGTGCAGGGTCGGTAGTTCCTTTGAACAAGGTCAATCAGAATGCATCTCGCAAGCGAATTGTTGCCCTGTTAGACTTCATCATTGAGAAAACGAGGAAGGAAAGAAACAAGAAAGTATTGGAGAAGACAAGACGAAAGCTGTCCGCGGTTCCATTTCTACCATTCATGCAAAGGCCCCGTGAATGGCCATTTGAATGGAAAGGGTCTGAGTACCCCGCAGACGCCCTGCTTTCTGCCGTTGAACTTCAACCGAGTAAGAACTGTGAGATTGCAGGCGTTTCCTGTCCAATAATGTGCAGTAGAATTGTTACGGAGAATGGGAAACACAGCAGCAGATACACAGTGCCACACAGCATTAGCAAGTTTCTTGGCCTGGAAGACAAATCACCCGGTCTGTCTGAAACCTTAACAAACCTTATGGCTATCATCGCCGTAGACATGGAGACTCTCTCGAAAGATGCTTTGGTTGTACGAGAACATCGTACCTACAAAACCTGGTACAACATCTCCAGAACTTTGTAAGGCGTCAAAATACAACGAGTTTGAAGTTGCTACAAGACTGTCCACGACTCCGTTCATCATGACCCAGATGACGAAGAGATTTCTCCTCCCGTCAGACGTGTCCTTTGACTTGAAGTTCACTTGTGCGCCCTACCTGTACCGAGTACCTGATGAACTGGCCTCAGAACTCAGATCTCTCCTTAAGGTCTGCAACGTCAAAACAGCGTTTGAAGCATGTGACTTCATACGGGCACTTGACCACCTGAAGAAAGATAAAGGAAACCAGAGGCTGAGCTCTCATGAGGTCAATCTAGCACTGGAACTGTTGAAAGCAGCCAGCGACCTGGAGGGGGAAGACATGAAAGAACAGGACCTTTGGATCCCGGACCAGAGTGGCGTGTTGCGCAGACCTTCTGAGGTATGTTACAATGACTGTGCCTGGATAGAACAGAAAGATGGCATGGTGTTCTGTCATAAGGACATGTCAAGAGGCCTAGCGGTGGACAAGTTGGGAGTAAAGCCCGTACGACACAAGGCACTGGAGGCGTACTCACACAACCTGTCTTGCTTTGGATCTGATTTTGGTCAGGTGGAAAAGTTGACCAACAGAATCAAACACCTGCTGGATGCTTATCCCTTCGGCAAGGAGATCCTCAAAGAACTGCTGCAAAATGCCGACGATGCCGGAGCAACGGAAATCCACTTCGTTTTCGACAAGCGTCAGCACGACACCAAGCACATCTTCGACGATAGCTGGAAGGACCTGCAAGGACCTGCCCTGTGTGTTTACAACAACAGACCTTTCACAGAGAACGACCTGATTGGCATACAGAACCTTGGACAAGGCAGCAAGGCACATGATCCGGTAAAGACTGGAAAGTATGGAGTCGGCTTCAACGCGGTCTACCACCTGACAGACTGTCCGTCCTTCATGACAGGAGGAGACACGCTGTGTGTTTTCGACCCGCAGCTCCGATTTGTCCCACTAGCGAGACTGGAGTGCCCAGGACGAATGTTTCGTGGCATCGACGCCTACCTGAGGCAACAATACAAGGATGTGTTCAACTGCTATCTCAATGACCAGTCTGAGTTTTCCTCTCAGGAAAACACAATGTTCAGATTCCCTTTACGGACGACAACGATGGCGACCACTTCACACCTGAGTGACAAAGCAGTGACCGAAGAAGTAATAATGGACCTCCTTCGCAGGTTCAAAAAGTGAAAGCTTTGAAGTCCTCCTGTTCCTCAACAGCGTGGAAAAGATCAATATCTCTATCATAGAGAAGGACGGAACCTCGTGGGAGTTCTATCACGCCGAAGCACTCATTTCAAAGAAGGCAAAGCAAGACCGACGCAAGTTTGCGGACTACGTGGCTGAATGTGCTCACAGTGAAGAGCCTCTCCACGAATTGCCAACTGACCATGTCACATACAACTTGGACCTACGTGACAACAATCAGCACCAGGAGACGTGGATAGTTCACCAGAGAATCGGGTTTGAGGACAAGGACATCCCAAACAGCATCAAAGAGGCCCACGCAGCAAAGGAGTTGGGTCTACTTCCAAGAGGGGGAGCAGCTATCTGTCACAACGACTGCAAACAGCCTTTTTCGTCAAAGGCTTCCAATAAATCATGGAGTTATCAGAAGTGTTACCATATGGGGCCCAAGCGCGCATTCTGCTTCCTGCCACTCCCCATAGAAACAAAGCTCCCGGTCCATGTGAATGGTCATTTCGCCCTGGACCACGAGGCTCGGAGAAACCTGTGGAAAGACGAGAATGGAGGGATGAAGTCGGACTGGAACAAGACGTTGATCAAAGAAGTCATCGCTCCAGCGTACGCCGCGGTTCTCGACGCGAAACGAGCAGCTGAATTTGACGAAGAGCACAAAACATCCTCAGCGTCAAAGACACGGGACGTCCACAAATCACTGAAGTCGTATCACAGTCTCTTTCCGTCTGCAACGGGGACTGACGAGTGGAGGGAGCTTACTGATGCACTCTATCAGCATATCGACCGCCAACATCTTCGCCTTCTACCTGTACTGCGGACGATCAACAGTGATGCTGAATCTCAAAGTGAGAAGTGTAGAAAACACAGCAACACCCAGTACATACTGGAATGGCTGCCTCCAACAGGAGATGGGAAAGAGGAAGCATTCTTTGACACAGTGAAGATCGATGACCCAACATCATTTTTGACCTCCACAAAGTTGAAAATAACGGTGTTGGTAGAGACACTCCTGGACCTGGGATTCAACCTTCTTTCATGCCCAAGAACAATATTTGACTCCTTTAGAAGAGCTGGCGTCAAAGTACAAGAGACTTTGCCTGAGTCAGTGATCCAGTTTGTTCAGACCCACACAGATGACAAACCGTTGTGTCATATTGGAGCGTCACTTCCTGCTCCACTGAGCACAACCACGTTCAAGCAAACAGAGAAACTTCAAGTGGTCCTTGAATACTGTTTGTCAGCAAAACACGAAGAAAAACAAGAGAACACACCACAAGGCCATCCTTTGCCGGCACCAACAAAGACAGAGCAGGAACACGAGCACGCACTACACCGTCTCCCTTTGCTTCTGACAACAGACAACATCCTACGAGTCTTTGACATCTCATGTCCCGTGTTTGCTACATACTATTCGGATCTCGTTCCAAGTGCGCCAGTATTGTTTGTACACCACTCCTGTCTTGCAGACATGCTACGTAACAAGACCGACAACTCAGTTCAGCGCTTCGACATCAAAGCCTTAAGTGAACTGATGCCACGTGTACTCGACAAGAGTGTGTTCGGAAATGGGAAGACTGTTAAATTGTGTCAGTCTCCTGCCAATCCATCGCAGCACTGGACATACCGTCTCTGGTATTTCTTTGCAGACGAAGTAGATCGATGTGGAATAGCAGGACAAAAGGCAGTCATCCAAGAGATCATGAAATTATTTGCCCAATGGGCTCTGTTGCCGGCTTGTACTCACTCACAGAAGGCAGGGCAGCTCGTTGTGCCATCTTACCCAGGAGTTCCTTCAGTGCAACCGGGGGAGAGGTACCTAGTCCCGCTGTCCAAAGCACACACTATAGTGACGTTTGACCAAGGACTACCATCTGCACGGAAAAACAGAATGGCAAAAATTCTGCGCAAACTCTGCTGCCTTGAGCTGAACACGAACAGTCTTCATGCACCTTTCTCCCTTGAACCTCATTCTCCAAGTTTACAGTCAAGCTACAAAACTTTGGGGCTAGCAAGGCAGTTCATCTCAAGTATCACAGACCATGTGGGGATCCTGAGAGTTCTGAACTTCATCCTAGTTGAGGAAGGACCTCATACGACGTCCTTGGACACCAGCGAGGCCACTGAACTTTTGAAGTATTTCGAAGAAGAAGCAGACACACTCAAAACGGAACCAGCGCATTTACACATGTTGCGATCGTTGCCCTTGTACAAAACAATTCACAACAAACTCATCAGTCTCATCAACACACGCCAGTGCCACGTGCTGCCGGTGGGTATACCAACAGTCGAAATGGATGAGTGGATGGAACGGTCGAACGCGGTCTTCCTGGAGGAAAACTCGAAAGTTGAAAAGCTACACGAGGCCTTGGGGTGTTCAGGAATCACAGAGGCTGACGTGTACCAACAGTACATCTTCCCAAACATGGGTCACCTGAGTGATGACGCAGTGGCGGTGCATCTGAAATACCTAAGAGATTTGGTGCAGACGTCGCCAAAGGATGCACGTCAGTCTCTCATACAAAGGCTAAAACATCTGCCCATCATACCATCACATGGAGGCAGACGTCCCGTTAGTGACTTCTACGACGACACCCATCCTGTCTTCCGTGAAATGGTCCCAGTAGAGAACTTCCTGCCTGAGCGCTATCGTTGTGGAGAGGAAGAGGAAGAAGTAGGGGAGTGGAGGCAATTCTTCATACAAATTGGTCTTAACAGTACGGTAACAAAGACCATGTTCCTACAGTATGCAAGAGATGTTGAACGCCTGTCGAAGGTAACCACAAGCGAAGAAACTCAATTGACACGAAAGTCAGAGGTTTTGGTCGATCACTTTTTCACCATGGAGAAGTTGTTGGATGGGAGTTTCATTGAAGAACTGTCAAGTATCCGGTTCATTGTGCCTGTAAAGGCACGAAGTGCTCTGGTCCAGCTGCACAGTCAATATGGAGCCACAGGTGACGTCTTGCCCTTTGTCTGCTTCAAGGACCCTGTGCCAGAGGACGAACAAGAGCTTTGCTGGACCAGGGCGAATCTTCTCCCCAACGATGTGACTCAAGAGTTACAGTACTACCATCGAGGAGATTCTGAGGGTTTGCGTCGTCGACTTGGCATCCAAGAACAGCCATCAATAGATACAGTTACTAGCCACGTCACACATCTTTGCCAACATTTGGCCCAACAAAAAGCTACGGAGACGGAAGAGGGAGCAAACTCACCCGTAGCCTGCCAAACTCTTTGGGACGTGATGCTGAAAGTCTACGCTTTCCTTTCAGAGAAAGCCCCTGATGACAGTTCGTTGAAAGACAGATTAGGAAACGTGCCATGCATGGTGGTTGAACGGGGCAGACGGCTTATTCGCCCTGACCAAATGGCGATCACACTCGAGCAAAATCATGAGATTCGGCCATACTTGTATAGTATGCCCATGGAGCTTGGGCCATACAACAAGCTTTTTGTCTCTTTGGGAGCTCCAGAAAAGCCAATGCCACTGCAATACGCAAAGATTCTAGAAGCGCTCTATGTCTCATCCAGAGGAGAACCCTTGAACCCCAACGAAAAGAAAGCAGCTTATCTGGCCGTTTTCGGAATGTTCCATCGCCTGACACCTGTATCGTCCATTCAGTTCGGGGAAGGAAAACCTTCCAAAACACGAGAAGTCGAGGATTCCTTTCAGAAGTTACAGTGTCTGTACCTCCCCAGCCGCAGGAGCAGATTGCACAAATCCACCGACCTTGTATTCGACGATGTTCCACAGTTCACAAATAGGGTTAAAGAGGGTTTCAACTATGATATCTTGGTTCACCTGGAGGACTGCTACTTGTATGGTGATGAACACGAAGTAATCCGCCGGCTCCCATCTCAGCTCCAACCCATGCATCTCAGTTCCCTCATTTACGAGCAAGTCTGTGAAGGATATGAGCAAATGGCCTGTGCCATGGGCACCAATTGTGTCTTGGAGTCTAGATTGACATCATTGTTCTTGAGCACACACTTTCGACAGGCAATAGTCCGTCTGTCCAAGCACAGTCTCGGAGAAAGATGTGACGAGGAGAAAGTCACAAAGGCAGCCGAAGAATTTGTGTCATCCATAACGGTCTGTTGCAAACAGCAACTGATCACGCGCCTTGTGTACAAGGAATCACAGGAGCAAATCAAAGACAGTGATGGAAAGTCCTCCTGTTTCATTCAAGATGGGACCTTGTACGTGTCACATACAGCCTCAACAGCTACAGGAGATATCTTTCAATATAATCTAGCTCACGTGATCAATGATGCGATGGGGCATCCACTAGTAGACCATGGGATGCTGATGATGGTATTAAGTGTCAACGACCCGTCAGATATTCCAGGAAGGCTTGACATGGCCGGCATAAAACGTTACACTTCCGGTCAGCAAGATGACTCACCCCTTCCTACCCTCGGCACTCCCATTCCGGAAATCTTTCACCACCTCCTGACGAGCAACCCGGCTCACTACTTCACTCCTGGTGACTATGTGGGGTTTGAGCTATACGATCCAGACTTAGAGTCGGATTCGCAGGAGGAAGAAGACTATACCATGACATTTCTATACGCACAAGTCATCAAAGAAGCGCCTACGGATATGGATCTCAAATTCGGTCTCGGCAGGAAATATGTCATAGATCTGGGAGAAACGAAAAGAACAGTGAGCGCGGCAGACCTTTACAAGTTTTGCCGCCCCAGCGTGTCAGGGCCGCTCGTTCCGTATGAAGGAGAGACAGACGAAGAAGATTCTTCAGCAGCTAAACCACCTCAGAGTCTTGAAGATGCAATGGAAGAGGTGAGCAACATCTTGGAGGAAGCATGGAAGCTTCCAGAAAACGAGAGAAAGAAGGTGGTGAGGCGCCTCTATCTTCAATGGCACCCGGATAAGAACACTGACAACGTCGAGTTGGCTACTGAGGTGTGCAAACACATCCAGGCCAAGATCAGCAGGCTTGAGAAGGGTCTTCCTAGGAGGACGGGAGGAGCGGCTGGGTCTGGAGGCTTTGATTTCGGAGGAAGTAGCTTCAGCAGCTCTTTTAACAGGTGGGACTCCCATGCCAGATCCCACCGCCGCCAGAGGGAGCAGTTCCGCAAACGCTACAAAGGCAGAAACTTTAGAGGCTGGCGAACCCGCTCAGGCCAGTGGGTTCCCCCCAGGACCGATGGAGACGGCTTCTCTAACCCGCGGGAGGCGGGCCGCTGGCACCGCCAGGCTACAGCAGACCTACAGGCTGCCAGGGACAACCTAAGCGGCCCCGGTACCTCCTTTGAGTGGACGTGTCTGATGTGCCACCAGGCGGCAGAGAAAGCTCTGAAAGCTGTGCAACTGGGCAAGTTCGGGAAGTACGAGATGGACTACCACATAGGAGGCATGGCGATGGCACTGGAGACCAGCTGCGGGGATGAACTGACCGGTGTCGGCGATGCCGCCATGGAGCTGTCGTCCATCGGGTCGTACCTCGGGTGCGATGACGTGTACCTGCGGGCCCGCTACCCCAACCTCCACCCGGCACCGAGAGTTCCTCACGACGCATTCACCCGTCAGCACGCGGAAACCGCCGTCCGCCTGGCGCAGACTATACTGGACAGGACGGAGGACGCATTAAACTAACCTACAACCTCCACCCGGCACCGAGAGCTCCTCACGACGCGTTCACCCTTCAGCACGCGGAAACCGCCGTTCGGCTGGCGCAGACTATACTGAACAGGACAAAGGAAGTATGGAACTAACAAACCTACTAGATGAAGATTTGTTAGTTCAATACAGAGAACAGAATTCACATCCAAATCATCGGGACGTTTGAGAGTTAAAACATTTCAAATGTGAGCGTCAGAAAAAAATCAACTGCTGATTCAAAAGGACATATACATAAGTGCTCCTGTAGAAGCCGCCAAGTGCCTTCATGTAAAGTTTATGGAAAGATTGAATGAAGCATCAGTAAAGTTCTTTAAGGGTGATGATGGGAGTCATAGAGTTTAGCTTGAAATAGTTTTTCGACTTTTGTTAGGTTCCTAGAGTACATTCCTAGAGTTAAACAGAAAACCAGGTCTTGTATTGTTTGCTATATTTCCTATGACTAGATGACGATTCAGACGGATTGACTGGATGATTTAGCTTTATATTTTACCCAGGGAGTCTAATGATGGTTTGATTGATGTGTACTTATATTAAAGCATAGGAGTTTAATGAGCAATATATAATGATCTTGAGAAAAAAAAGAGATTATCATTGCATCTTATATGTTTGCGTTAAGGGTTCTCCCAACTATACATTAACCTGCTTCCTGTTGGCAAACATTGTGAACATGCCAATATTTATTCTCAATAGTAAGTAGATCATAAGATGTATTTTTGTGGACAGTCACAGAGTTTAGCTTGAAATAGCTTTACATATGATTGCGTTCAACGTTCATTTCTTTCTTACATAATGTCTGCATTAAGAATCCAACCAACTATACATTAGCCTGCTTTATGTTGGCAAACGTTGTATACATGACAAGTTCACAATAGAAAGTAGATCACAAGATGTATTGCTATGGGTGTCATGGTGTTAAGCTTGAAATAGCTTTTCAATGTTTTGTACGTTAGGTTCAAAATACATTCCTTTATGTACGTAGACAGGGAATCAGGTCTTGTCATGTTTGCTATATTTCTTATGAGTAGATGCGACAAGTTAAATGACAAGTTAGAAGTTGACTGGACGATTATGCTTTTGCATTTTACACAGAAAGTCTTATGATAGTTTGGTAGATAGACTGTGTACTTGAAACACTGAGCAACATATAAACCAATTAACTATGATGAGAAAATGAGGTTATCTGTGCATCTTACATGTCTGCATTAAGAATCCAACCAACTATACATTAGCCTGTATTTTGTTGGCAAGCATTGTAAACATGACAAGATTTGTTCACAATAGCGAGTAGATCATAAGATGTAATTGCTATGATGGGCAGTCATAGAGTTAAGCTTGAAATAGCTTAGACTTAGACTTGAGCAGAAATTACTCAGATCTAATGTAGTTGAACTATTCTAGGAGATTGACCAAGGAGGATCGTCTGGGGGCAAAATGTGAGCAAAACAAAAGTGTTTCACCCTTTTCAGTTGTTGTTTGGAGGTCAGATTGGAGACTTCTAGCCATCTAGAATTTGTTACATTTGGTAGAAAAACCCCTTACAATCTTTCATGGTTATTCCTGATTACCAGAAGATATAATTTGAATACCTTCAAGTTCAACTCCTCTTAACTACATGTACATTCCATTTTGGTACGATACGATCACAAAGTTGGGGCATGAATGTATGAATAGACGAGAAACTAAATCAATGTAAACAACAAGAATCAACTGATCGCAAATTTAGAGAGAGTTTTGATGAAGGAAGCGTGATGAAGGAAGTACTACCCTACTCTTACACTATTCGTTGTTTATGGTTTGGTATTAAATACTACTAGCTGCTTTGTTACGTTTTGTGAAAATTTGGAATAAATTTCTGTTTAACTTTACCCCTTATGGCATCTCTAAAATATCAACCCACGTAATCAATAATTGACTGTGTAAAACAACATAAGCCTAATAGAATACAGATGAAAGAAAGCCACAAGAAATCTGACATTCCAAACCTCCGGGGAAGTATAAAACGCATCATAACAAAGATCATTAAAAATTGATATATCACAGCAATATTGACAATAGTGCTATAGATGGGTGATATCACAATTATGATATACAATAAAGGGTTAATGCCCCGCCCCGAGGTACATGTATATATGGTGAGATAATCCCTGGTCAAGTGCGATAACCACCGAATAAACCACCAAGTGAGCGGAGCGAAGGAGGTGGTTTATGAGGTGGTTATCGCACCTGACCAGGGATTATCTCACCATATACACCGAGGATAAGGCAGAGCATTAACGTTATTATCATATAGCCTATCTATGACTGACAATTATTTGATACAAATTCCTTTATAAAATTCTCTATTGCCGAAAAAAACTCTCACATTCTATGTTACCTGAAACAAGATGCCATGGACAGAAAAACAGATCATGTAAGCAACCATCTGCGGTGACCACGTTACATTGGAACAGTACCACTTTTAGTGGGGGTGTCAAAAATTATGTTCAGTCTTTTTCTGTTTAAATTTTATTTATAACTTTTTTTATTGTGTTTTACTTTGAAATTAATTATTCAAAATAAACAACGTTTTAATAAATAAATACTACAAGTCTTAACACTACTGTTAGTGCCCTGTCCCCTGTATAATGGTACTGTCCAAAAAGTGGTCGGTTATTCTAATAACCGACACTTTTGAGGTTATGGCCTGATAACCAATGGCAGATGAATTGGTCAACGCCTTCTGGCTACTAGTATGTGATAATACAGGATACCTTCCATCCTTACTGAAAGTAGTGCGCTATGGTTCCACAGTGTCGTCAGCTGGCGCCCGGTAATTTATAACAACGGTCCCTCGTTCTATGAAATTCTATTTTGATAGGTGGAACACACACCACCGCATGTCGCACGGGGGTGTCCGGAGGGTATCCAAATATTTTATTTCGACAATCGAAAACACAACAAGAATTCGGAGATCTCATACCTCCATGAAATATATGAGTTTTTGTACATGTTTTTTATTTGTCTTATTGACTATGGAAATAAGGTCGTAATTAGCAGAATCTAGTTTAATTTATGGTTTTCTAAATTCAAATGACAATATTTTTCGTTTATTATTCCTCTCCTTTGTCATACTTCATTTCAACATGTCCTCATCAATTATGCAAATGACCTCTACATTAACGTATGACATAATATATGCATAGTGGTGTTAACCTTTAAGTAACTTACACATATTACAAGGTATAAAATTCCCATCATGCACCAATAAGGAGTCACAGAATTTTGACATTAATTATGCAAATTATTTGCAAATCATTTGCATAATTGGTATCTATTGATGTTCCGCCTGCCACAGATTAAATAGATTACATATATAACAGTACCAGTATATAGAACTGTAATTATAGAATTTCCTCGTTAATTATGTAAATTAAGAACCATTTGCATGATTTGCATTTGATCATGTACAACTCTCTCTCAGCTACCTACATACCAAAAATGATGAAAATACGTTGTTCCTATCTGGACTTATTGGCTTTTAAAGATTTCCCCTGAAAGTCCCCTGCAGTTCCAGAACAAGCTGCTAGGGGGGCCAAACTCACATCACTTATTCCTGACAGGAAAAGCTATCTGTCACCAAAAAGTCAAGACCATAGCATGTTGAGGACAAAAGATACAAAAACCGAAAGTTCTGCTGCAGTACCAAGATCATCCACCAGGAGGCTCATATTTGACCTTGACCTTCGTCTTTCTAAGACTTACCAACATACCAAATATCATCACAATCCATAAAGGCGTTCTGAAGTTATGCTGACTACATGTGCGGAAACACAAACACACTCACAGACACGCCAAAAACAATACCTTATTTTAAAATAATTTTCATGGAGGTAACAAGAGTTCCACGAAAATATGATTCTCATTTGGATTATAGCCGCTGATCATAATAATTATCATCAACCCAATGACAGCCTTATCGTTAGAGGCTATTCTAGCACATATATCCTCATAAATTATGCAAATGAGGATATGATTTGAATAAATTATGTTTATTGATGCCACCTTCATGTAAATGATAAGACCTGATTTGCATAATTATGAAATGCTATAATTGCATTGTGGTAAAGTTAAGAATTTCATATTTGCGGCATTTGGATGTTTAGTGAAGGCAAACGTCACTAAACATAACTTAGTCAAACCAGCACCTCATTTACATAATCTATGAGAAAATGCTATAAAGGCCTTGTAATGGTTAACTTACTTTGTTGAAGGTATGAGCTCTATTATTAAATTGTCATAATTATTCCGAGTATTGGCTATTTCTATGAAGCAGGGTAACAGGGACAGAACTTCCGAATGCCTGCTCCACCCGTTAATTATAATACAACTGACATTATGTTGCTTCAACACAAGACAAGTGCACGTTAAACAATAAGTTTTATTTTCAACATTAACACCTGTAACTTGAACAAAATGAGATATACAAAATATGACCAAAATTGTCTGTATAGACAGGAAGTTGAAATCAAACAAAAGACTACAAAGTCAGTGTTTTCTACTACTAGTCTAGTTTTAGCATATGTTACCTAGTTGACGGTAGGATTATCATCTACATGCATATCATTATACCAGATACTAGTTATTACCTGGATTTACTTTATCCAATACATGTGTACATTAAGAACTAGAAGTATGAGCCTAAACCTAACAAAACTATGTAGATGTCCTATTGAGAACAAAAAAAAATTTTAACTACTGAATATAAGAAACAAACTATTAAACATAAGTAGACTAACAGCATATTGAAACGGACAAGACATTTCTAGCCCCTGAGCAGAAAGCACTATCGAACATGTAGACTAGTAATAAAATTACTAAAAAGCACTTTGTGAAATTGTCATCAGTTAGTCATAACACAAAAATAAAAAGCTAACAAAGATAAAAACAGCTACACTGTTAATTGCTACATAATCACCACAACTAAATCTCAACAAGAAAAATAATTCAAGAAGCAACAACAAACTAAAACTACAAAAAGCTACTTTCTTCACTATACTCTGCATGCCCAGCTGATAAAATATGCTTTTTTTAGATTATCAAAAAGTGTAAACCATAACTTTAAGGCATAACAACATACTTTCAGAATTAAATGTTTCCTGTCTCTGTAGTGTACTGTACTTTCATACTTAACTGTTTGTATTTGTTGTAAGTATGCTAGCATCTTGGAGACTAACTGTTGTCTTTTTTTCTTCAGTCAACCATTCGTCCAAAGCCATTTTTCACATCTCCTTTTTAGATTACCACATGTCTTATATCCTGCAGGGGTCTTCAACACTTCCAACACACTGGGGTCTCTCATCTTTGAGAATCGTGCCCAGTACGAGTCTGCTTGCTGCACTCCTCACACATCTAAGGTTTCTCACCAGTATGAGTCCGCATGTGGGACTTCAGATGACTCGATTGACCGAACTGCTGGCTGCACTCCTCACACACGAAAGTTTTTTCACCAGTATGAGTCTGCATGTGGGTCTTCAAATGAGCCAGCTGACGGAACTGCTTGCTGCACTCCTCACACACGTAAGGTTTCTCACCTGTATGAGTCCGAATGTGGGTGTTTAGATGACTCAGCTTTCTGAATTGTTTGCTGCACTCTTTACACGTGTAGGGTTTCTCACCTGTGTGAGTTCGCATGTGTTCTTTTAAACTACCCAGCTGACTGAACTGCTTGCTGCACTCCTCACACCTGTAGGGTTTCTCCCCTGTATGAGTCCGCACGTGAGTCTTCAGTTTATGCAGCTGACGGAACTGTTTAGAACATTGCTCACACTTGTAGGGTTTCTCACCTGTGTGAGTCTGCATGTGTATCTTCAGATTACCCAGCTCACTGAAATGCTTGCCACATTCCTCACATCTGTAGGGTTTCTCGCCAGTGTGAGTCCGTATGTGTGTCTTCAGATGCGCCAGCTGACTGAAATGTTTGCCACATTCCTCACATTTGTAAGGTTTCTCACCAGTGTGAGTCCGTATGTGAATCTTGAGATGACTCCGATGAGTGAACTGCTTGCTGCACTCCTCACACCTGTAGGGTTTCTCACCTGTGTGAGTTCGCATGTGTTCTTTTAAACTACCCAGCTGACTGAACTGCTTGCTGCACTCCTCACACCTGTAGGGTTTCTCACCTGTATGAGCTCGCACGTGAGTCTTCAGTTCATCCAGCTGACGGAACTGTTTAGAACATTGCTCACATTTGTAAGGTTTCTCTCCAGTGTGAGTCCGCATGTGTTTCTTCAGAGTACCCAGATCAATGAAATATTTGCCACATTCCTCACATTTGTAAGGTTTCTCGCCAGTGTGAATCCGCATGTGAGTCTTCAGATTACTGGGGTGACTGAACTGCTTGCTGCACTCCTCACACCTGTAGGGTTTCTCTCCAGTGTGAGTCTGCATGTGTGTCTTCAGATGCGCCAGCTGCCTGAAATGTTTGCCACATTCCTCACATTTATAGGGTTTCTCACCAGTGTGAGTCCGCATGTGGCTCTTCAAATGCGCCAGCAGACTGAAATGTTTGCCACATTCCTCACATTTATAGGGTTTCTCACCTGTGTGAGTCCGTATGTGTGTCTTCAGATTACTGAGGCGACTGAACTGCTTGCTGCACTCCTCACACATGTACTGTTTTGCAGTTACCATTTTGGCTCCAAACTCTCCTTCCAAACTGCTTTCCACGTCATCAGAGATGATTCCACTTGTTGCCATGACTATTAATAGCCCAAATGACTTCTGTAAAAGGTCAGATGTAACAATTAATTTGTCATATTTGTTATGGCGTGGTCACACTCAGCGTAGGTCATGATGGTATGATTTTGATGTTGTAGGATTTTCAAGCAGGCTGTGACAGAACTAAAAGCTGAGGAGGGTCTTAAGCATTTCCGGTCCCCGAAAGACTGAATTTTGTATGGCACCTGAACAACTGCGCCAAGAATTATTTCTTTGCAATTGTACGATGATCATATGGTGTATGTAACCTTACTTTTAAGTAAAATAAGGTTCCGGGTTGGAGTTTAAATCTGACCAGAGTCTAAGTAGTAAATCACCAGAAACGTGACTTTGTTTGGTCAGTGCTATCTCGGTCAGTGCTGTTTTGGTCAGTGCTATCTCAGTCAGTGCTCTCTCAGTCAGTGCTATCTCGGTCAGTGCTATCTCGGTCAGTGCTACCTCGGTCAGTGCTGTTTTGGTCAGTGCTATCTCAGTCAGTGCTCTCTCAGTCAGTGCTATCTCGGTCAGTGCTACCTCGGTCAGTCGACTCAGTGCTGTCTCGGTCAGTGTTATCTCGGTCAGTGCTGTTTCAGTCAGTGCTATCTTGCTATGTCCCCTCCCGCAAAAAAATGGTGGCTGCACCCGGAATGATAGCCTTAAAAAATTCTGCTGACAACTTTTAATGACACAGTTACTAAGTGTGCACTAGTACGCAACCTATGATTGGAGGCAGTCAGGCCTAGGAAAAAAAATGTTGTGTTTCCGGTTACCCGACCGACCCTATGAAAAACCACCCGACCCTATCCTTTTTTTGGGCTGACCAAAAATTTCGAGCGGTTTTCAAAATTGGGGGTTTTATCCCCGATAAATGTGCTCGTCATTCCAATTTTCTTCGGTCGGGCGGCACGGATCGGGCCGCTATTCAATTCCATTGTCGGCACAATCCTGTCAATTGTCGATGAATTGTCGATCTCGCCATGACGCCACAAAGAAAACGTTGTCATTGGTAGAAAATCTGACATCCCGCTGGCGTTTCACAACAAAATTTTCATGTAAACAACTCCGACTGTCTTTATAATACATCGCGAAAGCTCACCGATACAAAGTAAAACTCCCGCCGACCGGCCGCGCCCGACGGTCGCATGGTTGCGGCATGGCGCTAAGTTTTCGGCAGCTCGACGGAAAAAGAATCCATCCCCAGAAGAAATGTTACGCATGAAAATAACAACTACAACTTGTTTTCCTTGTTATATGAGTTTTTGAGGCCGTAAAATGTTTAAAACGGTTGAAATTTGCTCGAAAAAACGGCCCGAAAAGCCACGGCGAGAAAGACAACATGGCCGACCTGCTTTCACAATAACAGTGGTCAAAGGTCAAGATAGCATCCAAATGTATAGATACATGTAATAAGTACATATTACAGGTCTAAAACGATACTTTAAACGCATGAAAAATATTTTTTCGGCTACAACTGAAATAAAAATTCACTTATATTTTAGTAAGGTTAATTTTCAAACATTAATGAGAAATTTTCCGAATTTATTGGTTTCTTGTGTAATATTGTTGTTTCTATGTATGTGCGGTTGGATGCTGTGATTGTAAGACCCTTACATTGGGAGAATCAGATGAGATATTAGAGATCATCACACTTAGCACCGCGACCCGAATGTCTCTCAAAAATTGTTTTTTGAGTAGAGTTTGTAAACATGATCACATTTTTATTTGTTCAGCTGTGTCAATATGTGATTTGTTTGGGAAATAGGATTTGGTTTAGTTTTTAATATATTAATGTCAGTAACATCTTTGGAATAACTTTTTGCTCCAAGTTCCAGGTAGTAAATACATGTACATTTTGTATCATGTATTTTTCACTTGTTGAACTTGTGGAAGCACCGTTGGCCCCCGGTTAGGGGTCATCCGGGGAACCTATGCCCAATTTTTTCAAAATTAAGGGTGCTAATAGAATTTTTTGGAACATGAAGTGGATAATTAAGTACAGATCTTGAACCTTTCTCCTGCCTTATACATCTGCAATTGTACAGAAAATGTAGAACTGAAGTTGCAGGAAATGACCTCCATTTGTGTTTGGAAAAGACGAAATGCAATAGCTGCCCCCCCTCCAGACCTCCCCCCTCCGCAACGCGCTGCGCGCTCCTCCACCCTGCTCTGAATTTCTGGGGAGATCCCTGAATAAAGTGTTCAGTTCAGACTGTTTACATCTCGCTTGTCTGACTCTTTCTAGAGGTTACTATAAACTGTTTTGTTGAAGAATTTTACAATCTGTTTTGTACTGCCCAATTTTCTGTGTAGTACAAACAGATCATACGTTCATTGTCCCGGCTTTGAACTAAAAAAAANAAAAAAAGGGAAAATCCCTACCTACCGACCCTAATTTTTCTTGGACTGTAATAGGAACACAACATTTATTTGTTAGGCCTTAATGT